TATATATATATATATATATATATATATATACATATATATATATATATACATATATACATACACATATATATATACATATATACATACACATATATATACATATATATACCCCTCGCAGATGTTTGTACAAGGCCCTGCAGCGTCCAACAAGTCTGCATGTGGACCCTTCTGGCTCTTGAGTTAGACAGCCAGGGGACAGACCATGGTCTGGACCCTGCGGACATGTATCTACACCCGGCCTGCACTCAAAATGGTTCTTACCCGTTACTGGAAGCCAGTCCCACTGGTGAAGCATGAGGTATCCAAAAGTTCAACATTACAAAGCAGGGGTTCAGGGTAAGGGAATCGCCTCTGGGGAGGGTAACCATACTTGGCTTGGAAAAAGCATGCAGTTTGTAGTATGCATACATTATGTATGAGGCATTGTGCATAAAAAGGAGAAAACCATGTTTGTGATGTTAGTTGTCAAGCCTGGAAGTGTGATGCAGTATCAACATGATGCTCTATTTTTTCTGCGAGTTGAAGATTCCATATTCTGTATTTCATTTCTCAAAAATGATTGCATGTATACTGCATCATCTTCCTTTGAGGGCAAAGGAGAATCAAAATATGTTAACATAAGTTCAAACTTTAACTCCTCACATCTTGTTCTTTCGTTTCTGATACTTAGTCACCATGTCTTGTAAACTGGAGGTGGGAGGGGAATGAGACACAAACACAAAAAAACAAGAAGCAGAAATAAGTGAGTTTCAAATGGAAAAGAAAAGAACAATGGCTGCAAGAAAAATAAAAACAATAAGTCATGGTCTTAAAAACACAGCTTGTGATTGAATATTTATAATGTCTGGTTTTTAGCGATACATATTGCTCAAGATGTTTACCCAGAATTTTTGCTTTTTTCTGACTTTTGCTCTGCGTAACCCTTACGAAGTGCGAGGGGGGCACTATTTACTGTTATTTGGATGACTGGAATTCTTCTACGCACATAAACGAGCAAATAAACTCAGCTCTGCGCAGTAAGGTGCAGGTCACTGAGAGAAGCAGAGCGGCACGGAATGAGGCTGAACGGAGATTACTTCCTCTGACTGATGAGGCCAAGTACATAAAAAAGGAGCTCCAAATTATGTGCGGCAGTTTTCAATGCCTAAATATTTAAGAGAGTGTGAATAAGAGATGACTGAGACTGAGACTGGCTCGCTGATTGCCATCTCCAAAAGCTCAGTGAATAGTGCATTCATCCAGATATTGTCTCTTTTTCTATCTCTTTTTTTACCCACTTAAACACACGGAGAAGCTCTCTTAAGGTATACATTAAATAAAGGGTCCTCAATGTAGCAAGTGTTACCTGTTGATGAGATCCTCATTGTCATCACTCTCCATCTCATCCTCAATAGCAGCCTGGAGGTCGCCGATCCTCTTGAAGGCCAGCTTGAGATCTGCCTGGAGACTCTGGTTGGCTGCTTCCAAACTCTCAATATCCATTTCCTAAAGAGACAGGGATACATTTCAGTCTAACTAAGGAGGCACGTGTTTTTGCATTTAGATTACCTTTGCTACGGTCATGTAACATTCACTTATAGGTAATATTGAAAAACAGTAATAATTTAAGAACGCTTTTAAATGTAATCTTTTACGAATCTTAAAATTAATATTATATTATTTTTCTCACTGTACATGAGTGTTGTTACTGTTAACTAAAATTTCAAATACCAAAAAGCTGAAAAATATTAAATAAATATTACATAAATATTAGATAAAAAATGCAAAGCTCAAAAATTACAAATGAAACTAAATGAAGTAAAATAAGTTTAATAAATAAAATTACTAATACTAACACTGAAATAAAACTAAAACTAAATAGAAATATTAAAATACAAACTAATAAAAATTAAACAAAAATTTAAATTTATATTATTTGAAACAATGTTTCTATTGTTTTATTTTTTAGACAAAATGTAATAGAAATTATCATTTTGATTAGCCATTTATTGGTTATTGGCCAAAACCTGAAAATTAGTATATATATTAGTAACTGACTCTTCTTTAAAGATTTAGTTCAGATAATAAATTCAGTAGTGAAAAAAACAGAACACATCTCTCAAAATGTAATAATTTGTGCATCTGTTCCATTATTTTCTATATCTGAATTGATTAAATAAAATTCTGGATTCACCAGCCATTGTGGCCATTGGCAAAAAAGTTGATCTGTGAGGTTAGGCACTAATATCTCACTGTTCCTATTCATCCCAAAGGGGTTCAGGTCTGGACTTCATGAAGGCCAATCCATTTCTTTCTCACCACCAGACTTAGTAAATAATTTCTTTATTGACCTCATATCATGTTGGAAGAAAGAAGAGCTCTCTTCAAACTTTTACCAAAATGTTGCACACCATTTTTTTTAGTATGTCACTGTATGCTATAATTTTATGATCTGTCTGGAATTAAGAGGTTTAATCAAACTTGATAACTAGAGGGTCCATATTCGGTGTATGTAACATTTCTGCTTTCATCACATGCTTGGGGATAATTCACTCATTTATTCCCCTCATGTAATTCCAAACCTGTATGCCTTTCTTCATGGAATATAAAAGAAGATACTCCGAGAAAAGTCTCAGTGTTTTTTGACCATACAATGGAATTCAACAGGCTTTAATGTTCCTAACATTCCTCAAAATATCTTTTTTTATGTTCTGCAGAAGAAAGAAGAAGTCAAACCGGTTTGGAATGACATGAGGGTAAGTAAATGATGACAGAACTTTAATTTTTGGGTGCACTATGCCTTCAAGACACTTCAGAATGAGAACGTCAGTGAAGCAGAACAGGCTTCTCACCAGCTCGTGTTTCTTGCGGCTGGCTTCCGCTTCCTTCTTGGCCAGCTCGGCCATCTCCTCCTTGATGTCTCGGATCTGCCTCAGGAGACGCTTGTTCTGCTCTTTCTCCCGGTTCTCGCTGGCACTGCGTTGGTCTCGTTCCTCAGTCAACTTCTCGAGATTCTCTTTCAGCCTCGCTACAAGACTCTGAAGAAGACACAATCACTTATTTAACACATATGCAGCAATAACGTGCACCATCGCTTTCAGTGTTTCTGGACCCACTGCAAGTCTAGCACTGAAATATGCAAGATTGTCAAGCTATCCATATGGTATGAAACTCCAAATAACTTCCAAAGCAACTTTTCTGTGATTTTTCACACCAAAGGTGGGCTGTGCTGGCATCGAAACACAGAAATATCTGCAGATTAGGAAAACAGACATTCTTTACAGCTTCGGATGGGCATGGTTTAAACAAGCTGCCTTTAGAGATAACACTGCCCAAGCCTGAACTGAGCTATACGTCCAACAAATCAGTAATAACAGCGCTTTTAAATCGCTTCTGTTGACAGATTTCGCTGTGGGCGCAGTAGACATTTGTAATTTGTGCAGAGTGCCAATTGTAATTCTGCAGGTGAGCAGGAGCACCCAACAGAGATGAACGATGAAGAGGACTGGCTGTTGGAAAATGTCACTTAAGGAGCAAAAAACCCATTAAATCAAACAAAACAAAACGCTGAAATAATGTGCATCAGAGGAAACACATTAATTACACTAGTTGCAATGCAAAAACAGATGACCCGCTGCCTCCAGCAACAAAAAATATCAGACATGAAATGAAATGTACATTTCCTCTCTAAAAGGGGACTGACACTGTTGATTTGAAAAAGACAGAGGGGGGATGGAAATAATCCACATTTTGTATTTTAAGACACTTCTAGTACAAGGTTTAAAGGTCTATAAAGCAGTGGGCCAATGGGGAAGGCCTGGTGAGTGTGTAGATTCATTTCTCCATTATCTGACACTTCAGTGCCTGCGCACTGACCTTTTGACACTTCCAGCAGCCCCCTGCTCAGCCCACATAAGCACATGCATCGGGCCAACTCACCTCCAAGCGTTTGACCTGTGTCTTCTCAAACTCCATCTTGGTCTCCAGCTCACGGATCTTGGCCTCCTGCCGGCTGACCAGAGACTTGTCCACCATGGACTGCTCTTGGAACTCTAGCTGACTCTGCAGGGCTGTGAGCTGCCAAACACACACATACATAGTGCGAATTCACACAAATACACTGAGAAAGGACAGCAATCTGTATTTCATGGAAATACTGAGTATGACTATTATCTGCTGAGCAGCGACTCAAAGAGACAAAGCCCTCACCACCACGGGGTGTCTTTAGAGAGGCCTACCTGGTTTATCAGCCTTTAAACCAGCTCTGCTGCTCTACATTGAGGGATAAGTCAAAGCCAGTTCAGACCAGAATTGAGGTTCTGATACTTGCTCGATTACACAGGTATCAAATGCGTTATTCAAACCCCATTACTGTGCCATGTCTGCATATAGCAAGTCATTTCAAAGAGTAAAAATATTCTGTGCCAAGAATTACATTTTTTTGCTGAATACACTTGTGGCCAGATAGAGTTTTTTATTACAAATTACTCAACTTTGAGTTTTATGAGGGGGAAACCAACTGTTCCCTACAGTATGGGACAAGAAATTGGCAAGGAGAGAGTAGAGTCTGATGCTGAGAGGAGAAGATGGATTCTATAATTGAAGAGTCAAATGGTGAGGGGGCGGAGTCTGTCCCTATCATTGAAGAGTCAAATGGTGAGGGGGCGGAGACTGTCCCTATCACTGAAGAGTCAAATGGTGAGGGGGCGGAGTCGATCCATATCACTGAAGAGTCAAATGGTGAGGGGGCGGAGTCTGTCCCTATCATTGAAGAGTCAAATGGTGAGGGGGCGGAGTCTGTCCCTATCATTGAAGAGTCAAATTATGAGGGGGCGGAGTCTGTTCATATCATTAAAGATTCAAATAGTGAGGGGGTGGAGCCTTCTACCATTAAAGAATCAACACATGTGTTTGACTTGAAGCGGTGCTGCACAGACCGATCAGTGTATGACATCAAAGCACCGTGAGAATGATTCGAACACATATGGAGCTGTTTTTGCTCTTGCTGTATTTTGATTTCATATATCAATCTGTCTGCGCAGCGCCGCTTCAAGCCAAACACACCTAATTGGTTGAGAGTGTTGGAGTCTGATCCTATCATTAAAATGCCAAATGCTGAAAGGGGTGGAGTCTGATCCTATCATTAAAAAGAATCAAATGCTGAAAGGGACAAATCCTGATTCTACATTAAAAAGTAAAATGCTGAGGGGGCGGAGTCTGATCATGTAATTAAAGATTCAAAACCTGAGGAAGTGGAGTCTGATGCTATCATTAAAGAGTCAGTGGTTAAAGGGGCAGAGTTTAATCCTATCATTAAAGAGTCGAATGACCTTAGCTAACCTTAGACAGAAATAAAACAAAACAGTAGCTGAATTCTAATTCAGTCCACTTAGGATGTACTCTGAGAATGCAAGTAACAGTGTTGACTTTGTGAATATGCATTTCTGTAAGGATGCCAAAGTGAATTCACCTTCTCCTGGACGTCCTGTTTCTCCTTCATGGCCTCCTCCAGCTGGGCCTGCAGGTCACTGATCTGGGCCAGATTCTGTGTGGACTGCACAAGAACACACCACAGAGGGATCAGAGTCTTCTACACATCACAGGACAACCTGAACCTACAATTCCTTAATATTTATCCACTTGAAGAGATCTGAAAGTCATTTGTTATGCTATATACATGATATCTTTAAGTGTGCACATTTTCTGTATGTATGAAATATTCAAATGACTGAAATAGATCAGTTATTATGGTGAATTTTGCATTGTTTATAAAGGTGGACTTCATTTTCTTCATTTTACTCATGCATGCTGTCTAGTATAGCATTAAAAAACAGCATGTAGAGAACATACAAAGGAAGTGGGCAATATGCACTATGATCATGTTATTTTGGTGATATATCTTACAGTACATTGCAAACCATTTAGCTACTGACAGACAAGCAATCTTATGGTCTGTAATGACATCTCACATAAATTTGGCAGCAATAAATGGCATTTTAACAGAAGCATAAATGAAATGGAGTGGAGAGAGATTTAACTACGAGACTGTCTGAGACTGTTTCAAAACCTGTGCAGTGTTCCCATAAATGAACCATAGAGCTGGTGAAGTAAACCAAGGGGAATAGGGCTGTTCCATTGGAGAGGATCTGTTTACTTAGGGTCTGTGGAGATACATCACTCATCTCTACACATCGCTGCCATAGCAGCATGCTGTGTTTAAAACACTCTTAATGACAATTATCCCACGCGCTCAAATACACGACAATCGCTGCAGTGACGCCTTCGCACTGGCAACCAATCAGAGAGAAATACAAAGTGCTCCATCTGCACACACTAAATGATGTTGTCGATTTGATTTGCATGATGGAAGCATGTTGCCGAGAAACAGCTATGAATCATACTGGAAAATGTCAAATATGCTGAAATCATGTAGCATGCAATATGCGCAGTGGTAAAAAATATATATAATCAAAAAGGACAACACAACTGTTAATAAAAACGCTTTTAAGGCCTGTTTCACACCGCTCTTGCTATGCAATAGCACTTTGCTTGCTGTAACCTGTTAAATATGGGTTCCACAATAAGCACACACTGCTTTGTGAAACATGTGCAGTGTGAAACATGCCTCAAAATATAATTATATATATAATCCACAGATTCAAAATAAATATATTACATATCAGAATTATAATGATATATATTATTATATATTATATTATAATTATATATCATGGATATTCAATATCAATAAATCTGTTATTTTAAAAAGTTATATATAATCATTTTGATATGTTATAAATGTGAATGTTATTTTAAAAATACTGTATAATTTATTAAATGACATTTTGCTCATATTGAACTTTCATGATACAAAAAAAAACAAAACATAAATGTACATACACATCTACTCTGTGTGCGATGATGACAAGAGAGGCTCTGTATAGCGATCTGACAGGCATGAGTGCCGGAGAGAGTTACCTGGGCAACGGCGGCTTTGTGTTTCTTCATGAGTTCGTTCATGTCCTCCTGATCCTCCTCCATGCGAGACTGCAGGTCATTCTTCTCCCTCTGCAAACGGCTCAGCTGCTCTTCAAGCTGCATGAAAATCAAACAAAAGCATAAGACAAACACAAATATGACTGTAAATTGAAATTAAAAAATGTCTGAGTAATGGAAAACAACCACTCTGACTGAGATGCTCAGCATTCTGGCATGTTAAATTACATGTTCTAGTTGGCATGGCATTCACAACCCATTTTACTTTCATATTACAATGCACTTCCGGGGATAATTGGTTTAAAAAAATATGTAGGACAGATCTTGAATTTATGCATCAGGAACTGATTGGGTCCCAGAACGTGTTATAGCTATTTTTATTGATACAGACAGCAGCAAATAGACAATGGACTTAACACAGTCAGACTCAAACCTCTGCAGGTCAGGAACACACGCAGCTAACCACTCTGACTTCAGCTCTCATTTATATTTTCAAACTGAAAGCCCAGCTCCTTTTAATTCCTTAAAGAGATAATTTTCCTGTCACCCCGTCACTAAACAGTAGCTGCTTGCTTTGTATAAATCCCTGAGAACACAGCACCTTCTGCCAATTAGAGATGAACACTTCAATGCCTGCTCTGTCAAACAGTATCAGAGGTCTAATTCCATTCAATAATAATTACCTCAACAATACAGCCAGCTAATCTCTGAGGAGTAACTTTCAAATCTATTAGTGAAAGCAAAAAGTGTAGACACATTGCACATTACTTGTGAATTAGTGAGCATACAATGTTTTGTAAAAACATCCTCGTGAAGGCAGCTTGCGTTTTCTTTCACTCATTCCCTCTCTTTCACAAATCAATACAAATGAATTTAATTGAAAGGGGTTATATTCTACACTATTTTTTTTTTAGCAGTTTACTTGTTTCCCTGATATGCACCAAAATGTCACCATTTTCACCATCTCTGATCCAAAACAGACTCCTACTGTTTCTTTAAAGGGGTCATCGGATGCTCCATGCACTTTTACAAGTTGTTTGAACTAAAATGTGTGTTGGCAGTGTGTGTACACAACCACCCTATAATGATAAAAATCCAACCAGTGTTTTTTTTTTTTTTTTAATCTACTAAAATTTTTACCCCTTCCTCAAATCGAACCGATCTCAGATGAATCGCCTGCGATTTTGAACGTGATTTTGTGTAGCTTGTCAGTGAACTACGGCTCTGTGTAGTAAATGCCGCTCCATCTGAAAGCACGTGCTGGAGATTTACTACTAATCACCAGAAGCAGCTTTACTGACGAGATGCGCATGAAAATCGCATTCGATTTTTTGCACAGCCCTAGTACTGATAAACGATACTCCCTATTTTCTGTACAGTTCCATTTCACACCTTTAAACTCTGTCTGGAAGGTGTATTGTATCAAACCTATACTTCACCTTCAAATCCTCTAGTGGAAATCCATGAGCTCCCTTGGGGGAAGGGGTGACAGACAAACCAGAAGCTAATCAGATAGTGATCATGACCAGACCATTTATCACAGCCTTGCTAATCAATACGACAATATTTAGAAAAGAGACAGGTTCAGCAAAACCCACAAAAACACTCTGCACCAAAACAATGCTTGAGCGTGGCTGCGACTTTATAGAAAATTAAATGTTCACTGCACCCTTCTGTCAGAGTGTCTCTTGCTCCAGAGAGCTGAGCAAGTATGGCAGGCGGCGACGAGACAAAAAAAAGAAAAAGAAAACAATATGGAGACAGCATCAGGGGAACAGCATCTGCAGAATTTGGCTGCATCCGTCTCTCCTGATATCACGTCATAATACGCTACAGTGAGGACACAATTACACAATTTTCTCCACGCTGAAATAATACTGAATCAATGACAGAATTATTAAAGTGTAATGTGTTTCACACTGATACATCCTGTTCAAATTAGAGACGACATTGGAAATGTGCTATTATGGGCGGAAATCATTTCCCCGTGGTAAGTAATTGAAATGACATCCTGGCTCCCACCTATGGTGGATGAAGACAGGTGGTGTACTTTGTCTGTGTGTGTGAGATGATCTTGCTCTGACTCTAACAAACAATTCAGTTTTGTTCTTTTTCAAAGACCGACAGACTTACCGCCTGCTTGGATTTAGATATGTCATCCATTTGGACATGGAGGTCCTCGATCTCCACTTCCATTGATTTTCGGGCTTTGACTGCAGCAGCACAAGTGAACTCTGACTCCTCGAGCTGTGAAGAGCTCACACACATAAGTAAAATGTACGTTTCTGACCGGATGTCATATATGATGTGTTAACTACAGAGCCCAGGAGAGCTGAGAAACAGACCTGGTTCTTGAGCTGAGCGATCTCTCTCTTGCTGGGAGCGTTGTTCTTCAGGTGATCCAGCATGACCTGGGCATCAGCCAGCAAGGCCTTTGTGCGCTTAAGGTCTTTTCTCAGACGCTTTTCTGTCTCCACATCTCTGTGGCTCACCTGAAAACACCAAAGACATTTTACATACCGGTTTTATATAAATATACTCTTTAAATCTTGTACACACTCAAGCAAAGACCTTTATTTACATGATTTGCTCGACTAGTGCTAAACCAGAAGTTCAGGGATGATTTGGATTTACCCCAAAAAGTGTGAAATGAGTCATTAGCATTTTTGGTCTGTGATTTACAGAAAGATGTTACACTTTAAATGTATATACAGCACTGTTTAAAAAACTGGAGTTTGTAAGATTTTTTAAAATGGTTTTGAAAGAAGACTCTTATGCTCACCAGGGCTGCATTTATTTATTCAAAAATACAGTAAAAACAGGAAAATGTTAAAATATTATTACAATTTTTAAATGTAATTTATTCCTGTGAGGGCAAAGCTGAATTTTCAGCACCCATTACTCCAGTTTTCAGTGTCACATGAACCTTTACAGATCATCTAATCATCTAATATACATGTTTAATTGGATTCTTTCTATTCTTATAAATATAAAGTTTTAAATCATTAAGTATTTTTCTGAAATATAAATCTTTTATAACATTATAAATGTCTTTACTGTCACTTTTGATCAATTTAATGCACCCTTGTTGAATAAAATGTTGTTTAAATGCGTAATATTTTTACATGCTTAATATACTTAATATTAAAGAAACTTTTGATACAGTTTTTGTCAAAAATTCTTTTGTAAGGACATAAAAGTCTTTACTTCCACTTTTGATCAATGTAATGCATTGTTGCGGAATAAATGGAAAAAAAAAATCATACTGACCACAAACTTTTGAATGGCTAAAAGGAGTACACACGTACATAACTAAAAGCTACAAAACATTTAATTTCAGGTCTGTAAACAAAGTCTGTCAAAAATAAATAAATACATAAAATAAATTAAAAAATAAAATTAGAAAATTCACTTAAGTGATATGCAATATTGCTTAACTACCATATTCTAAACCATATTTCAAACCTTGATATAGTACTGTAAATATAGTATATAGTAAGTAAGAAAAGTACCTGGTCTTGAGCGCTCATCAGCTTGGCTTCCAGGTCTCTCCTCTCACGCAAGACCTTCTGCTTCTCTTCATACTCCTCCTCCAGCTGCACCTCCATTTGCTTGAGCTGCTCACACACAAGCATAGTAACAGAACATCATGGAGGATTTTGTGAAGAAGGTTTGCCCTGAAGAGTCAATCCAGACATATAAACACATTCCCTAAAAGTGTCTTTAGATGCTTCTGAGCACCTTCAAGTGTCAATCAAGGGACTCGGTTGTGAGAAAGAAGGGTAATTATGGGATGCACTGTACTGGCAGCTTGATTGGTTAAGTGGAGAGGAGGGAAAGGTGAACTATACGTGAGGAAAATAAAATAGCAGCCCCATGAATTATACATCAAAACAAAACTCAGTGAGTTCAGCTTATCTGCACCTCCGCGGCAAAGACACTCCACAAATATGAAAGGCGCTATCTGCAACAAGAGCTGCGCTGAACAATGCTGAATGAAAATTCTTATTCAACACATGGGCGAATACGTCTTGTTTATTTATGTTGTACAGGAGTTGAAACGAGCTCTGCATAAGAACTGAACATCAGCAATTAAAAAGTTATAAATTGAACACTCTTGAACATCTGAAACCAGTTGTAAAGTATTCTGAGCATGTTTAAGTGGTGTTAGCTGGTGACTTGAACATGTGTATGGGAGCTCTAAAGGGCTATTATTACATTTTTTTGTAATCCAAATTTTCTCATAATTTTGACATAACAAAAGATGTTTTTCTGAGATATCGACTTATTTTTGCAGTGATCAGAATAAATTCAGAGCAACCTTTGAGTCTTCATCTTGACAAAATTTGTTATTAAAAGAAAATAATAATAATAATAAGGTTTTGGTTAATACAGTAACGCATTATTTTACAGTGCAGTACAGGGCATGCAAAATTTCGGGCATTTACTGGTGAACCACTGATGTCACATGGACTATTTTAATGATGTCCTTACTACCTTTCTGTGCCTTGAACATGTCAGTTGCAATGCTGTCTATGCAGGGTCAGAAAGCTCTCGGATTTCATCAAAAATACCTTAATTTGGGTTCCGAATATGAACAAAGGTCTTACAGGTTTGGAACAACATGAGGGTGAGTAATTAATGACAGAATTTTCAGGAGACACAAAAGAGCAATAAATTCTGGGTTCACGTGGTGTCTGAAACATGGCTCTCTGTGTGCGCGCTTTAAAGTGCAAAAAACAGCGAGTGAATAACGAATTGAATTCTCTTTGACCTCTTCTTGCGCTTGAATGGTTTAAAACTCTTGAATGTTTAAATAGGCAACACGTGCAAATGATCAACTATGATCCATTTCTCCTCTACAAGCGAGTGAACAACGCAAATCAAGGAAGGAATTTTATATCACTAATTCAAGATACATTTTGGTAGCCTGACTGGAAAACACAACAGCCCCGGGACGTTGGGCTAGCGATTTTGCGAGCCCTGCAGTAAAATATTTCACTTTATACTAATATTTACTGTAAAAGAATACTAATATTATTTAATACATATATTACATAATATTAATACTAATTAGAATAATTAATTATTCAATAAATGAATAATAATCATATACAAATAGCTCCACAAAATTCAGCATTTGCATAATGAAGACTTAATTAATTTAAAGATAAATAATATATACATTCACACACACAAACACACACACACACATATATACAGTATATACATATATATATATATATATATATATATATATATATACAGTACATTTGTATATATTTTTTTCTATTCATAATTTCAGTCTTCGTTATATATATATATATATATGTATGAAATTATGAATATTTCATACAATGAAGCTAACTTGCCAAAGGTTGTAATAATTATTAGCAGTTATTGTTGTATAACAGCTAGTTGACTGTAACATACCTTCTTGCTGCAGGACTGTCTGATCTCCTCCACCTCGTCGTCTTTGCTCTCAATCTCTTTCGAATGTGTCTGTCTCAGTCTCTCCATCTCCATCTCCAGACGGAGCTTGGCCTGCAGGTCACAACATCAATAGCTCAGTGAATGCAAATCCACACCTTCTGCAAGCATGCATGCATTGGAATCCACTGGAACAGGCGCTATGTGCATAAAGATGCATACAAAATATCCCTGTCGCACAGGTCAATAAAACGCTTTGTAATTATTTTTATAATGTATGCATACTGTGAGTACGGACAGTTTCTTCATACTGACACATCAGCTGAATTTACATGAATTAGCATATTACGCATGGCAGATGAAAATTGCGTGCGTAGAGAATGTACATCATTCTAAGAAAAACACATTAAACATCAGGCAGCTCGATACAATGTATATCCTTATTCTTATGACATGATGTCACGAGTGTACTGTACGGCTGGTCGGAGTGTGGTGTGTTTGTGCTTAGGTTTACTTAGACAAAGTTTGGAGACAAAATTGTAGCAAAAGTTAGTGAAAATTAATAAAGTTAATTCATAAAATGTGATCGTGTGTGTGTGTGTGTGTTTGATTACCTGCTCCAGCATCTGAATGGTTCCAGCCTGCTCATCAAGTTCTTCTTCTTGATCTTTGACCTTTGCCTCAAGGTCACGAAGCTGCTTTTTAACCTTGGCCAATGACGCCTCGTCCTTTGACTCCTGTGAGTTCAGATCTTGAAGCTCAGCCTCCATTTGCTCGAGCTTCAGATTGACAGCACATATCTCCAGATCCTTATCCTGAGAGAGCAGAGAAAAACTCATTTAGCACAACTCAGTCTGGACTCAGCACGCACAGACACGTGTACGTCACAGCCGGGAAAGTTCTACGAGTGAGAGACAACAAAGGAGGATGATATAAGAGAGGTTGCTGACCTCCAGTTGTTGTCTAAGGCTGAACACTTCCCCGGTCAGCATGTCTTTCTCTCTGCTCAGTTTCTCTCGCAGACTCTTCTCTCTCTGCACCTCCTCCTGAGACTGAGTCTGCTCCGAGTCAAACCTGCAGACATCGTATGCACACAAAAAACACACCATCAACAAGCTTAATCTCAAAAAAGACGCTTTGCTCTCTCTGTTCCTGTGGTGGAACGAGATGTCATCGAGCACCTGATCTGCTGAGAGCATCACAAATCATTCCACGAGCACTAAACGTCAACCATGATAGCGCTTCATAATAATACTAGCCTAAATATTTAAAAATTAATAAATAAAATAAACAATTAAAATAAAAGTCATAGGGAAGTTAAATTGGCAGTTCACCCAAAAAAAGAAACTTGTCATCCTTTACTTACTCGTGTAATTTCAAACCTGAATGACATACTTTCTTCTGTGGAACAAAATGAAGATTTTTGAAAAAACATTGGTAAGTCAACCGTTTCGGTTACCACTGATTTCCACTCTACGGTCAAAACACACCAAGACATTATTCAAAATTCCTTCTTTAACGTTTCACAGAAGAAAGTAAGTCACACAGTTTTAGAATTCAAGCTGACAATTACACATTTTTGAGACAATATCAATGGATAATTTGTTTTAACTGTATTCATTTCTTTCTTTTTTTTTCAGGGAATGAAGCAAATATTATTTAACAAAGAGATAAAAACCCACTTTGAAATGAAATTTAATTGAAAAAAAAAAAACAATGTTATTTTAGAACGTTTTGTTAAGTATGACAGTTTTTGTCCACGACAGTATCGTTTACAGTGCCGTGAAAAGGTTTTTGCCCCTTCCTGTTTTTTTAATTTTTTGCATATTTGTCACACTTAAAAGATTCAGATCATCAAACCAATTTTAATATTACGCAAAGATAATGCAAGTAAATACAAAATGCCGTTTTTAAATGATAATTTCATTTATTAAGGGAAAAAAGCTGTCCAAACCTACCTGGCCCTACGTGAAAAATTAATTGCCCCTCCTCTTAAATCATGAAAGAACTGTGATTATTAAAAAAACAGGAAGGGGGCAAAAACTTTTTCACACCACTGTATCTATTTCCGCCAGTAAAAAAAAATCAATTTCATACAATTTGCTGTCATTAAATTGTATTATGTGTATATCATGATGACTACCATCTGCTTCCCTGCTCTTTAGATATCAATATTTGTCATTGAAAAACCTATATTAGTTGACCACTAGTCATAATATATACAATAACTAAAGCAAATTTTTAATTCTTCAATCACTAATCACTCTAATCAAAGCACAATTTTAATGTATCTGAAATACTTACAAAAAAACAAAAAAAAAAAACATTTAGTAACACTTTAGTATAGGGACCAATTCTCACTATTAACTAGATGCTTATTAACATGCATATTATTAAAATATTGGCTGTTTATTAGTACATATAAAGCACATATTCTGCATGACCACATTCTAAATACCTAATCCTAAACTTAACAACTACCTTACTAACTATTAATAAGCAGCAAATTAGGAGTTTCTTGAGGCAAAAGTCGTAGTTAATGCGAGAATTGGACCTTAAAATAAAGTGTGATCAAAAAGTTTTACCAAAAACAAATAACATGATACAAAACAACAAGAACAAAAAATAACATACCTGCTTTTCCTAAAATAGCCAAGCATAGCAGAGTGTTGAGAATCTAAAACTCATCTAAGCTTTACAGTATTGTGTGTGACGTGTGTCAGGAGGGGCATTAGGGAAAAGTGTTCTGATTGGGTTAACTTGTAAGTGGGCAACAATGAGCAAGGAGGGGGGAGTCGTGACGCTTTGGGGCAAATCAATTCGTTCTTTTCCTTTTTTCCTATTTCTCTCTCTCGTTCTCCACCCCCTTCTCTCCAAGGCCCTGTTATGATCCCGTAAATGAGCCTTATGCAACTCTTCGTGTTAATCCGAGCCCCACAGAGAGATGAAGGGCCGCTCTCCTTGCCCTCCCCCCATCTCTCCTACTGGCTAAATCTGCCGTCACACTGAGCCTCAGGCTGATCATTATAGAGTGGACTTTCTCACATCCCCTCCGCAGTGACAGGCACAGCCTCCGCCTGTTTACTCAAGAGTCTAAAGAGGCTTAGCTGCAGCACCTTTACACATTAACCACGTCACTCTGCTTACAGCCTTCTGCTCTGAGTAATGATAGTCTTACAGATTTAATTTTCAGATGCTTGTTACTGAGGCCCTGGTGGGCTGCTCTTAAGGCTTATTCACAACAAGGATGAAAATTATAACTATAAAGATTTTATAATCGTTCTAATTCTATGAGAACTGATTCACATACAAATAAGAAATAACACTCTTATCAGAGTGTTCTTTTAATAAAGGGATTAAAAGAGAAGTTAATGGTTTAAATCGGTATGAAAAACTGTTCTGTTCTGTGAATCAGAATGGAAATACAGCAGATCTGTATTGATACCCAGCACTATAGCATACAGTTATAAAGAACAGGATTTTGGGCCAATGAGATGTCACTTTGGGTACAGAAAAGAGACATACGAGCACCAAATATCTTGCTGCGCCATGAAGTGCTCCGTAAGAGGTGTAATAATCCATTTCCTTAGTAAATCTTTATCTGGTCTGACTCACTTGCGCTGTTTCTTCTCCAGGTCGTGGTTGCGGCTCTGCTGCCCCTCTAGGTGCAGTTTGGTATCCTGCAGCTCGGCTGTCAGTCTCTGGCATTTCTTCTTCAGCTGCTGCGACACGCGCTGCACCTCTTCATTGTCCGCCTGCAGGTCTGTCAGCTAAACACACAGATTCTCAGTGAGTCTGTACAGGTGGATATTTCCATCCAGTGTGTGTCTTGTCTAGATGTATGAGTTTCAGCTAATACGTTCAAGTTTGAGACAGTACGTGCTGTTGTGTTGGACCACAATGACAATTCGAGTGAAGTCTGAGTCTTTATGATGCGTGGGTTAGTTTGGTGGAATAAAGTCAGTAGAAACGCACTATTATTAAAATTAAGGACAATACTGATTTCCAGAAAAAAAACATAAATAAATAAATATATGATAATAGATATGTAACCAATATTATTCATTCCTAGACATTCCTTGTAGGTGCTGGCAAAATGACCAGAGCTGTTAGCGTTTGAGTGTGTAACAGTGTTATTTGTGTGTCTAAGACGTCCTTACCTTTCTCTCCAGCTGCCTCTTGTTTTGCTGCTCCACCTCCAGTTTGTCATCAAACTCTTGCTGGAGTCTCTTCTTGGTAAACTCGATCTCTCTGATGGCTCTCTCATACTTGAGCCTCCATTCTCCTCCTGAAAACACAATTCATTGCAAAATGGCCTTGTGTGTTTACTCAAATGCAAAGGCTGTTATTTAATTAAATAAATATGTCAGTGCTTCAAAGTGAAGTGGTGGCACTCTGTTTTGTCTGCTGCACATAGTCCAAGTCCTCAACAGGTTCAGTGCACTTGAAGTTCGTGGTGCAATTTGAGATGTCTGATATCTATCATAAAGCAGTTACATCACATTATTTGGCATCAAAATTGCAATATAATTTTCGAGATGAAACACTGTGGGCCACATTGTCTACGGTCATTCCCTGAAGAGAGCCGAGGTTTAAAGTATGGACCTCTGCCAAGGAAATTTCACAACAATCCTTATGATTATGGCTCACACAAAATCCCATTCAGCGAATTTGACAGCTATCTATCAAACTGGGAAAAACTGCAAATACACACAATAAATCGAAGCAGGAAATTGAAATGCTCTGAAACGTAGATATGAGAGGTGGCTTTAGCAATGGCATGCCAATCCACGTCACCATTAGAGAACGTAATTGCTGGAAAGTGGAATAAATCAAATGTTCATGGATTAGCATTAAGCCTTAGAGATAAGCTGTGTGACACAGAGGTGAGAACAAGCAGTCACCAGTCTGACACATGCATTAAAATGAGCTCTGTTCATGACAGCAGTGATTCTAAGAAGAGCACTACTGAGTATGATCACGGTCAGGCTTTCACAGAGAACACGCTGCCCACCAATAGGAGAAGAAATAGAAGGGACACAGAGAAAGAAGTAAGAGTAAGTGTGTGTATGTTGGGGGGAGAAAGAGAGACCTTGAGAAAATCAGAGGCCACTTTCCAGGAATAGGGTGTAAAATATGGCCTAAAGTAATTATTTCCCTTTCATCAAGTTTATAGTGAAAGGAAGTCCTTAACCTTCAAAAAATACTGATCATCAGCCTCAGAGGATCAAGGTAAACTGAAAACTAAACAGAGACAGATTATTATATTTTCTTTCTTTTTTTTTAATATGACATTTGTAATCGGTTCAACCCTTTTTCCAAAGAAATCCATTTGAAAATAAATAAATTTTAAAACCCTGATTCATGTGACTGATATTTTCTATTAGTAAACAAACTGACCAATTCATTTATTTAAATAAATGAGCCGGAATCGGTAACAGGGTTGCCAATTTAAGATTTCACTAATCAGGTGCTTGCTAGTTTGGTGCTAAATGTTGGTTTGTAGTATTTACTATAATATAAGAAAAATATTAATTAAAATAAAATAACTGGTAAAGGGATCGAATGGTTGAGCTTGATAAATGCAGTCAACACTGTAATATTTGTAAAAATTGACAAAATGTGATAAAATAATTCTTCACATCATGATGTAGAAAGGGTCTAGTTATCTATTGGGCAATACAAAAAATTCACAAAATTGACATGAACAGGGTTGCATTCAAAATGTGCGACAAAATAACTTTATATTTAGCAGTAGTTTGATGATAAATTAATTAAATTGTTAGATACAGTCAACAAGGTAATAATCTCTGAGGTGGGCCCAAAAAAAATTTATCTGATGTGTTTAAAAGTTACTTTTCACGCTAGGTAGATCAAGTTTAAATATCTAACAGCTCTCAAAGCAAAATACATGGATTTTTGTCTCTTATACGTTAAAAAAAATGAGACACCAAATTTTCCCTCTTCACGAAAATTCCAGAAACACAAGTATAAAGGAATGAAAAAGAGTGAGAGAGACAGGGAGACTGAGAGAGAGAGAGAGAGAGAGAGAGAATGCGGATGTTTGGTGTTTTCAGTGCCCCCAGGCATTTCCATATAAACAGCTTAATGAGGAGCAGCAGCTCTGATGCTACAGATTATTTTCTCATTTGTCTGGAGGCGCCACGCTGAAATGCTCAGCACACCTGAAGCTCTCCTCCTCACCAGAGAGTCATGGGCCGCCACACTCATGGAAATCCTCCCAGATAACCCTTCAATTCTGCCAAAATGATTCAGGAGGGCTCTGATAGTTTTCGCTTAAAGCTCAGCCATCATGAGGGAATCCCTTCACTGAGACCCCATTATACGTTCGATTCCAAACTCGCTCTGTCCAGGAAGTGACATCACAAACTCACCTGTGTCATCGTCATCCATTTCCCCGTTGAGCTCTGATGCGCGTATGAGTCGTGCCTCCATCACCTCCATCTCCATAGACTCCATCTGCTTCTTCATGGCATCAAACTTGGCCTGACACGCAAACACACACACACAGACTCAGAACACATCAGCTCTATGTTCTACAGGGAAATACTCAGACCATCTGCTCACACAGGCAAACTTGAGTCTAAGAGACACATAAACACACACCCACAAGGCATTCAGAGACAAACACATGCAGTCTCTCGCTCACACATGCTACGTCTTTCACATTGATATTTAATTTGAGACGACACAATTTGTATACGGCTCACGCTCTGCTGCATGAACTGCAGTGTCTGCATTGGCAGAAAATATCTATTTCAGGCAGGAGGAGATTTCCTCAGAAAACCATCAAGTCAAACTCTGCTTCTGTTCAGAAGTGTGTGTGTGTGTGGTACCTGTAGATCCTTCATGTCTTTCTCTAGCCTCAGTCTCTCCGAGGTCTCGGACTCCAGAAGTTGCGAGGCAGATTCGCCCGTGTTGCGCTCATCTGCAAGCTCTGATGACAGTTCTGAGATCTGAAACACACAAGTGTGCGTCCACTAGATGTGTCACACATGCTCTATGCAAACTTAAGAATACTTCACATCTGTATTATCACACACATATTTCACACACAGATGATGGATTTTTTTGTAACGTGGTGAGATGCTGACGATGTGAGGTGTGTGACGGTGTGATTTTGTATTTTTATTTTTAATGTAATACTAGTATATGTATCGTAATAACTTTATATTTAAATGTTATTATGGATGCCTTATCTTGGACATATAAATGTACGGCTGTATTATACTTGAAGTGTAATTTTATTCTTTAAGACCTATCTCTGTTTATTATGTTGCTTGTAGTAATTAAACAACAATATTCAGAAGAAAAAAATCTCTGAGCTGAAAACCTTTGGCAGCTTTTATAAGTATTAATGTATTGTACTGTATCTAATAATCAAGCACTTGAAGATGGTGCCAGTCATTGTTTTGTTTTGTTTTTTAGGTATTGCTGAATGTTTATTTGAATACTACCTTTTAATTAATTTGTTTCTTAGTTAATTTGTTTTTAGATGTATACAGATTTTTTTTTTTTTACAAAAAGTAAGTACATTTTCCTTTGTGTAAAAATTGTGTAAAAATGTATATATTATCTGAAGTATATATATTAAATGTATACTATTTAATTATATTAAATATTATTAATATATGTCAATACTATATAAATTAATGTAAATAATAAATTATATTATTCAAATATTAAATATTATTGTATAATAATAATACTTTACTAATGTTTTCTTGAATAATTCATTTCATGGCATTGTTTTATGTATTAATATTTATATTAATATGTAACTTTTTAAATAAAAAGAGTTATGTTAATTAGTATAGCTCCTTTCATTTTTGCTGTTAACCTGAATTATTTATTTAATGTAACTGATTTAATTAGTTGATATTTATATTAATATGTAACTTTTTAAATAAAATGAATTACTTGGAACCCCATTCATTTTTGCTGTTATCACAAATTCCTTATCTGGAATCATGAAATTCCATTGGCATTAGTATTGCATGTTCACGGTGTGTGTGTGTGTGTTCACTACTCACTGCAGTGTGTGTGCACTTGAATGGGTTAAATGCAGAGCACAAATTCTGAGTATGGGACACCATACTTGGCTTCACGTCACCTCACTTTCGCTAACTGAAATTTTGGTATGTGGTATGTGATAAACATGTTTAAACAATTGAGTTTCTTTAAATTGAATTTGAATTGAATCTGAACTGAATTTGAAGTCAATCTAAATTTAATTTGAAGTGAATTGAATTTCAGCACTAACCTTGCTTTCCAGTCGGTCACTATTGAGTCTCAACTCATTCCTCTCCTTCTCCACTTTTTCCAGCTTCAACTTGAGTTGCTGAATTTCCTCCTAAAGACAGACAATCAGAGGAACACAATAAGACAGCCAGAAAGACAGGATGACAAGATATTCAGCTGATATGTAGAGAAATGACCACACACAGTCAGACATTGAGACGCTATGACATCCACTATATTTAGCGAAGTATAGAGATAGACAGGTGAGATCAATTAGAAACGGTAACAGAATGACAGACAGGTAGAAAGTCTGTCCTGTTCAGAGTCTCTGTGACTCTGCTTCCGCAAACCTCCTCCCACTTTCCTAAACTTTTCTTTTGCTAACTTGAGAGAACTGCAGGCTACAGCCAATCGGTTACAGCTCTGAAGGCTGTTTGTGCAGAGGAGATAGTGACTCTGTGTTTGTTTTTTAAAAGCAGGCTGTTTTGAGGCAGTGTCAGCACCTGTCTGTCTCTCGCAGGAGCACGCCTGACTGCATGGCTACACAAGCACTCAGCGGGACACGGCACAGCGGACGAAACCCACACGCACGCGCACATGCTCTGTGACATGCTAATGCACTCCCCGCGGGAAGTAGAGTTGCTTTTGATCCAGCCAGCTATATACGTAATGTATGCATACACACAGCCCTGCCACTCTCCCCACACAAGCACACACACAACTCTACAAACACTCGGATTGAGGCGAAGCCGCAGAGACAGTAATCAAAGAGAAGGGCGCTTTGGGTGCGATTTTAAATAGTAATTTCTACATTGGGTGGCCCTACTTATCAATTTCACAGTGTTCTCAAATTAAATTAAATTTGATTTAATATTTAGGAAATATTTAAATGTAATATTTGAAAAAAAAATGAATTTAATATTTCAAAAAATAAATAAACAAATACTATTTTAAAAATCATTTCATATGCCAACCACACAAATTAATTCAATTTGAGACCTTTTATTTTTCATATTTCTGGCATAAATACACAGTCAGTCATCGAGTAATTCAATTAAACTTCAATACTACTTGGCAGCTGATTTAAACCCTGCATAAGATTTACATGCTGCAGGAACAGGGCCGATTCAAATAATAGAGGATTATCTGGAAACCCAATTAGACAGGCCCAATTCAGCACATTAACGGAGCCGAGTCCGCGCCCGTTGCGTTCGAGCTACGTCTAATTTGTCACGGCAAGAAAGCTTCGGTACAGAACCGCAGCTCATTTGCCACGCTTTGACCACAACAAATGCCACAAACAGCCATCTAAACAGCTTGTAAGAGACGGCGAAATCAGGAAGAGCTTCCTAATTAACATGGCAGTCTGGAGGAAATGGTGCCTGGGAGCCCTGGGGCCTGGCAGGAGGAACTAAGTGTTACGTACGAAAGGATGCGATTCCAACTAAATCGGCCACAACCCTTCCGACAGGTGTGTGTTGTGAATTTGAATACGGATCAGCAGGTGGCATTCATCCGCGCGTATGAACACAAGGACATTTGAGCGCACTCACACGTGTCTGCAAGGGCACCTGTTCACACTGTGTCTTTAGGCAATGAGTTAATTAGACACTCGATTGGCATTCGTGAAATGCCCAGCTCCCTCTACTGTCATTTCCGCTGAACGTCAAAGAAACTTGGGGAGGAGCCAGCGAGCTTCAAAGAAGCCCACGTGGAGTTGTTCTCCTTTCAGATGCCCCCGCCAGAGACAAACAGAAAGGAGGAGAGAGGAAAGACAGAGAAATCTGGAGCGACCAAAGGCTTAGAACGCACTCTAAAACTGGAACAGACTTTAAGGTGCTGAGATCCCTCCATTATCGATCGGAGAGAGAAATTGATTTTGCATTGTGGCAACTGTGGTTTGCAAGAGGAAGCCTGGTCCCACATGACTGTCTCTCAGGGATCTGCCGTAACGATTCAACTCAACACTTCTTGTCTTGACATTATTAAATACATCCTACAAAACAGAAATGACTCCATCACACACTTAGGTCTTTCCACTTCCACTTTCCACTCACTTTTTTAGATTTGGAAGAGGATATGATACTGAGATTCTGTCTAAAACTGTTTTCATCACTAGGTCAGGGGCCTTTGTAGTGTTACATAACCAGACATTTAATTATCAGTGTAATGGTTCAATTTGCAGATTATTCTAGCCAAGAAATACACAACAGAATGGAAGAGACCATTTAATGACATGTAAAATAACTGACCATAGGTCATTTTGTTGAAAAATACTATAACATTAATAATATGCTATTTATTTCCATTACCATTCAAAAATTTAGGGTCAATAAGATTTTTTTAATGTTTTTGAAAGAAGTCTCCTATGCTCATCAAGGCTGCATTTATTTGACAAGAAAATACAGTCAAAATTATTACAATTTAAAATAACTGTTTTCTATTGTAACATAGTCATTATTCAAGTCCTCAGTGTCACATGATCCTTCAGAAATCATTCTAATATTCTGATTTGCTGCTAAAGAAACATTTCTTATTAAACATTGATGCATTTTTTTTTATTATTTGACAAAGTTCAAAAGAACAGCAGTTATTTGAAATAGAAATCTTTTGTAACATTATTAAAAAACATCTTACCCCAAAATTTTGAAAGGTAGTGTATAAGTAAGACATGTTAATACAGTATTTAATAAAATAATAAAAAAGACTGAATGTCCATTTGTGGCAGGTTGTAGACAAAAACCAATGTTTTCACCAACATACCTCATTACCAATTATTTCACAAACATATCTTTGAAAACGACATAATATAAAATTATACTTGTCAATATTTAAATTTTGTAAGTGCCTCAAACAAAGTCCTTGAAAAATTATTTCAAATATCTGATATCACTAGCTGGAAAACCAAATCCTGTGATTATTTATTTCTCAACAGCATTTATTTGTGTACCTTGACTCCCAGAAATTGTGTAAAGCCAGCCAATAAGAATAGAGCTTGTCAGAAAAAGAAAGTGTTGGCATTTTTGCATGTAATATTCATTACATAGTGACTGCCAAATCCATGGGCGTCTGAGGTTACAGCCCATGAAGAAACTTTCTACAGCAACAGTCCAGTACAAATCCCTACACTGATCTCTCAGTCTAGTGTGAAGCACAGGTTTCTGACATGTGCTTGACAAAAGATTTCTTTCTAAAGAAATAAATACCTCTGGGGACAGGTTGCTGTGATTCAGAGGCATCCAGACAAAGCTCTTTGTTGGGACAATAATTTTATAGAAAGCGGAAAATAACAGTGAACCCGCCAGCAAATGGAAAGCTGCAGTACTTATTCAAGAACTTCTTCAAAGAAGTCAAACAAATCTAGAGGTACACAAGACATCTTTTATGGCAACAGCTATAAAGCAGCTCACCTACAAATCAGTGTTACAAAAGACGCCTTACAAGGGGCCCTGCTAAACAACAGAGGCAAAAGAACAGGGTCTAAATGAAGAAAACAACCTCTACCAACATCTACGATACCAACAACAGCCCACAAGTGCAAACAACCTCATTCAAACTTTACTGAGACAGGGGCCCAGTCTTCTCAGGAGACAGAGACAGAGTCGCAGGCAACTGTAGGACCGGCCCTCACATCCTGAGCCAATCCCACTGAGGGTATATATACAGTGGGGCAAAAAAGTATTTAGTCAGTCACCAATTGTGCAAGTTCTCCCACTTAAAAAGATGAGAGAGGCCTGTAATTTTCATCATAGGTATACCTCAACTATGAGAGACAAAATGAGAAAAAAAAAATCCAGAAAATCACATTTTAGGATTTTTAAAGAATTTATTTGCAAATTATGGTGGAAAAATTGGTGGCTGACTAAATACTTTTTTTCCCCACTGTATGAGTGTGGAAGTGAGAAAATGAGAATAGAGCACAAAGGATCAGAGACTGAAAGGAAGACAGAACAAAATAGAAGACGCCAGGGCTTAAACCCAAAAAGAGACAGAGTGAGTGGCAAAGCAGAAATTAATGTAATGGACAGAGAGGGGGCAGGCGAGAGTGCAAGGCACTCAGTGGCGGAAGAATCGATAGGCCTGTGATGGAGGGCAGTGGGGCAGGTGGCTTCTTCCCCGGATATGCGCTGATTGAATGTTATCTGTCAGCGGGGGACACAGCCAGAGGGATTTTCTCAAGACAGCAACGACATTCTGATGGACTCTTGACACAAACCTCAGGACAAATGAACTCGAGCACTGAGAGCTCGGACTGGGAGCAAAAAAGAGATGCTCAAACACAAAACATTTCCACTCTGGTGGGACAAAAAGTGGCTTAAAATGTCTTTAATATTTCAGTGGTATGTATATTGTTAATAATTTACAGTATGAATTCTTTTTTATAAGGTAAAGAGAACTTACCTTCCGCTTCTTGAAGGCCTGTCGGGCCAGGTAGCCCCTGCATGCAGCCTGAAACAGGGTGATGTTGCATCTGGTCTGGATATCTCGGTTTTCCTCTAACTTAGCCAAAACACCTGCTCTGAAGAACACCTGCAAATAGACCACTGCTATGAGAAATTTGGAAATAGAACAAACTTTCTGACCAATACATATATATATATATATATATATATATATATATAT